ATACTCCTGTCAAACAAAATGATACAGAACATGGTACATCATCAAACACTTGTCACATTATTCGCAAAGATGCGTCTCGGGCGACGAAATTGAGCCTCGCTCGTGCAAACGGAAACCCCGATAGATTGATGTCGACCGCCCTCCTAACCGGTCCCCATCGGAGCACCAATTTAAGAACAATTAGCCAACAGGTCACTCTCCGCCCACCACTATACCTTAACACCCCAAACAGCCCAAATACGACACCCAAAACACCTCAACTACAATAGAAAAGCCCAATATTCTAACGAATGTTTGTCTATTTCAAACAGCTGCGGTTAAGGTATACGATACCCCAAACACCCCAAATACGATACTAGACTTCGAAACACCCCCGACTACGATACCTGTTGACTGAAGCGAGGCGGTTCATCATTGGCGTCTCGTACGTGACCGTAATGTCAGCGGTGGCCTCCGTCAGGGGTCCCCGCAGTCGGCGACCCGATCCACCTCAACAGCCTGGTGAGGGGGAGGGGGGGGGGGTCAGAGGTCAGTCGGCGGCCCGACTCCACCTCAACAGCCTGGGGAGGGGGAGGGGTGGGGAGATCAGAGGTCCCCGCAGTCGGTGGCCCGACTCCATCTCCACAGCCTGGGGAGAGAGGGAGGTCATAACAGAGCCATGAGTATTGAGTATATTAAGGTTCGGATCGAGTTCAGTAAATTAAATGTGGAAAAAATAAAAAACTTTTTAAATAGCAGCAATGTGCATATCTTAAAATACATTATTGATTGTCAAATTCGTTCATTATCAATGAATGTCATGGCAACTTTTCACAAAAGGCAACAAAATGGGTACAATTTCGGACCTGCTACAAACACAAGAAAAGCCAAAGCATTTGACAAAACATGTCATCATCATCATCATTAGCCCATAATAACTAAATACGCACTTACTATAGCAGCAGCAGCTCTAGGCCATTTAAACCTCATCAATTGACACTACCGGTGGTTTCAACTTTCCTAGACGGCACAGAATCCACCGACTCACCTTGACTGTGAGATGAATGGCGCCGCCGCGCACCAGATCCGACTCTCGGTCCAGTTTTTTGGCCGTGCTCAGCACGCCCGTCTCCTCGTCCAGCGAGAAAAACTCGCCAGGGTCTGCCAGGGCGAGAAAATGAGGTGTGAATGGTAGGAAGGCTTTGTGATGGATGGGGTAGGTGTGGCGAGCACGAGCATCTTTACGAAATACCATGCGGCAAGATTACTGAAGTCCGTTAGTCGAAGTGCATACTGCAGATACATCTCAGCTTCAGCAGTTCCCAGCAGGCAGACTAGGCAAGGAAACCAACAACTATGAGCAGTAAAATCACACCTCCATCTAGCCTTTATGTCATCCCAATTCATCCTGCTACCCTCTCCGCCTGTCCAGGCTTCTCTCTCCCTCGCTCGTTCCTTTCCATCTCTAATTCTGAACTACCCAATATCCATTTTGAGGATTACGTGTCACACCTTCCTCTATTCCCTCCCTCCCTCCCTCCCCTCTCCCCTGTCTCACTTTCCACCATCTCGAAGACGACAGGTCGTGCCGCCCCGCTGTCTCCATCCGCCGCCGCCACGGTCAGTACGACCGTACCGATGGCGGCTCCCTCGTCCACAACGGCCGTACGACTACCGAGAACGACGGTGGCGAGTTCTGCACGTCCTGAACGCCGATCAGAGCACGGCCGGCGGCGGTGAACGGCCGTCCTGTGGGGGGGGGGAGGGGGGGTCAGTGAATGAACGAATCGCACGTGGGTGGAAATATGTCCAACGACAAGCTGGGTAAAACAACTGGGTCGATGGTAAAGCTGGATTTCCTAGAGACTATGCTAAATCACAAACCACGTACTCATGTATGCTTCTTGACACTTCCTTTCCCTACACGTTAACAAAAACAAAACAATGACACAAACATGCCTCCCTCGTCAACAAACCAAACACATCATCTCCACAAGTCCCAATCATGACAATGAAACCTTCCCTCCTTCCCTCTCCTCACATACCCCCTCGAAAGAGTACCTAATGACCTTCACTACGGTAAATACTTGAGATAAATACATACCGACGCGAGCAGCGCCACACTGATCCTGGGGTCCGGTCGGTGAGAGTACCAGCGGCCGTTGTAGCACCAGCGAGCCCACGTACAGCTGAGAGGTACTCTCCAGGGCCATCACTGTCAGCAGCTCACAGGCGCCCTCCGACTGGCGGTACACGGAACGGACACGGCACGAGTCGTGGTTAGGTGGGTGGGTTAAAACGTGTGGCGTTTGGATATGTATGCAGAAAGTTCGTGCAGTAAGAAGTAAGTACGGCAAGAGTTCGTCTTTGGTAAGTGTATGCGTGATTTGTAAGCCGAAAGGGTGATCTCAATATTATGAACATTTATCACTATGGTATAATAAAATTCACTTGCATGTTCTTATAACGGTAAACAACTACATATTTACCACGCTGGCCTGTATCGTTAAACTCAGCACACACAAGTACATACGGTAATTTGACGCAATCCTCTTATTACAGCTATTACCTCAAGTAAAGGTCATTAGGTACCCTTTCGAGTAATCAGACCCTTTACTCAAGAGATGCCTCCTCTTCTTCTGACGAAGACGAGTAGGCTGCCATGCTAGGTGAGGCCATACATTGATGGCCACGATGATCATTAGTATGAGAACTTGTAGTTGAACTTTTCAGGGTGGTCCTTCCATTCCTTCCCCAGTCTGTACTTGAACACATCGACATTTGGAGCATCGATGGTGTGGGTTGACAGCTTGTTCCATGTCTGAGTTACTCGTGCCGCAAAGAAGGCTTTTCTGGGTCCCAATTGATGCTGGACTTGAAGTTTTGATCGTGACCTCGGGTGACACGGCTGAGAGAGTTCTTGAACATGCTGTTGTGACAACACGGGCACTCTCTTGGAAGTCCACCTTGTCGAAGCCTTTCAAAATTTTGAAGGTCTCGATGATGTCCGACCGTTTCCGTCGGAATTCCAGAGTAGGTAAATTAAGGCTCCTGAGGCGATCTGAATATGAAAGGTGAGACAGTCCGTTCACCAGCCTTGTTGCCCGCCGCTGCACCTGTTCGAGTGCATCTTTGTCCTTTTTGAACTTGGGACTCCATATAACAGTTGCATACTCGAGGTGGGGCCTGACAATGCTTTTGTACAAGGCTTTGAAAATGTCGCTGTCAATTTTTGCAAAGGTATGCTTGATTGCACCAAGAATTCTATTGGCCTTGTTAATCTGGTTAGTGACATGTTTGAGAAGGATAGCTTCATGTCTATAGTGACTCCCAGGTCCTTTTCCTCACAGACTGCTTCAAGGGTATGTTTGCCCACCCATAGTTGTCATGGTATACTCACTTCCAGGATTTGTTGGTCCTAGATGCATGACCTTGCACTTGAGTGGATGAAAGATCATCTGCATTGTTTTTGCCCAATCTTGCAAAGAGTTGATGTCCTCTTGCAGATTGTGAAGTTCACCATCGCGCTCGTTGATGACTTGGTAGACCTTGGTATCGTCCGCAAACATAGAGATGTGACAATTTAAGAGGTCGGGAACATCACAGACAAACATGGAAAACAAGAGAGGCCCGAGCACTGAGCCTTGCGGCACTCCACTTGTTACATACTCCCAGTCTGAGAGTGATCCATTGACGTTCACTCTTTGCCGCCTGCCTGTTAGAAAACTCCTTATCCACTGATGAGTCTTTGCATTCACCCCTAGAGCCTGGACCTGGGCTAGAAGCCGTTCATGGGGCACAGTGTCGAACGCTTTGGCATAGTCCAGAAACACAACATCCACTGGTAAGCTGTGGCTTAGCGCTTCCGTCCAAATATCAAGAGCTTCCAGTAGGTTTGTGACTGTAGATTTCCCTGTGATGAAACCATGTTGTTGGCGAGCGATAAGATTGTTTGTCTTCAGATGAGCGATGATGTCCTCGCATATGATCCTCCAGAATCTTGCATAATATTGATGTCAGTGACACTGGTCGGTAGTTCGCGGGATCACTTTTGTCGCCTTTTTTAAAGATTGGCGTGACGGTGGCCACCTTCCATTGCCGTGGAACTTCTCCAGTTTCAATACTTTTACAGAACAGAGATGTGATGGGTGTCGCAAGTTGGTCAGCAAGTTCGTGCAAAACACGAGGGTGCATGTTGTCGGGGCCTGGCGATTTATCAATCTTCAGTGTTTTCAGCTTGGCATGGACTCGCTGAACAGTTATCGCAATTTGCATCTCTGCCTCCAAAGGCTTTGGAGCTAGCGTTGGGATCGATGACTTGTCTTCCTTTGTGAAAACGCTTGCGTACTGATGATTCATATATCAGCCTTGTGCTTGTCGTTAGTTGCCGGTTCACCATTAGCACTACGCAAGTCCGAGATACCACATTTTGATTTCCTGCGACGGTTGACGTAGTTCCAAAACACTTTGTGATTTCCTTTGACTTCTTTAGCCAGCTTCGACTCGAATTCCCGCCTTGCTTTCCTGGTCGCGTGGGTAGCTTCATTTCTTGCCTTGACATAACTTTCGTAATCATTACTGTCCTTGGTGTTCAGAAAACGAACCCAAGCGTGATGTTTTTTCTTCACCATTCTAAGAGCACTCCGATTCATCCACAGGGGATTTCCTCTTTTCGCTTTCTTGTTGGTGTCCAGCTTGGGCACGTACCTATCCATTAAATCCGTGATCGTTTGTTCAAGCGTATCTGCCATCTCATGCACAGATTTGCCTTCAAATAGTCCTCGCCAGTCAACGTCCAGTGCTTTCCTCATTTCTTCATAGTTGGCTTTGTGGTAATTCAGTACCGCACTCTTTCTTACTGGAACGTAAGGGACAAACGATATAGCAAATGAGACACTGGCATGATCGCTTGCTCCAACCGGGTCTCCAATTGTCAGTTGTTCCACCAAGTCTCGCTCATTTGTAAAGAGTAGGTCATCGAGAGTAGAGCGCTGTCCATCTCTGTATCTTGTTGGCTCTGTTATATGCTGTAGAAAGTAGGTATCGCGTATACATTCGATAAACTTACGAGCTGGGCTGTTCTGGCTGACACCTTCTGGAACTTCTGGGTCCGGGGTCCAAAATATTTCTGGGTGGTTAAAGTCACCGACTATAACCTTGTGCGAATGATTTGTGGATGCTGCCCAGCCAAGCATTTGTGAAGATCAGGATCTTGAGGAATAGCTTTACTTGGTGACCCGCTTCTGTAGATCACCCCAACAAGCATACTTGCTCCACCCGGGCATTAACCGTAATCCAGGTGCAATCCTGAAAGTTGCAGTCTCCCGCGGGATAAACTTGTTTGGCCATCAGATTCTTTTTACATAAATTCCCGTGCCCCTAGTAGCTCCGGCTGAAAAGTTGCTAGTAAATAATTCGTAGTCGGGCAGTTCCATTACAGGGTGTTCAGGCATCAACCCAACTTTAGGTTTCATTTCTGTTAATGCAAGAATATCATAGCTCTCAAGTGCAGTGAGTGCCAGCATCGCGTCGTATTTACTCATAATAGAATTGTCGATGTTGGCATAAAACACTTTCAATGAGTTAACAGTAGGGTTACAGGCCCGGCAGGTTTCTTGTCGTCTTGAATGTCTAGTCTCGATGTGATGGAACCATGTGATGGAACTATTACAATTTAAATCAAAAGTATCTCTAGAAGTAACCAATTGAAAAAGAGTACAGCTTCACACCGACAGCTCATCGACACAGCAAACACAGGACAATAAAACTCAACAATCTGGAGAACAATAAAACTCAACAATCTACACGATATTTCACCCCCGTCAGCTTTGTCTCCAACATACCGAGCTTTTCGGGTCGCAGGTGACGTTCAGGTTCTCTCCGACCAGGTCAGGGTCAGTGACCTCGATCTTCTTGATGACCGTGCTCCCGACCGGAGCATCCTCGCGTAGTTCGGCCTCGTACAGTGCCTGGGGGCAGGTCAGGGGTCAAAGAGGTCAGGGCTGGAGTTAGGATTATAGCAGCGGTTAGAGGGATCATGGCAAGGCACATAAGAGACATGGTCAGATGGGTCAGTTAGCGAGGTTGGGCAGGGGTCAGAGGTCGAGGTAGGGTCAGAGGTCAGATCAGGGGCTAGAGGGATCATGGCAGGGGCAGACGTCAAGGTAGGGGTTTGAATTCAAGACAGCAGTTACAGGCCAGAAATCATGGATCGTCATAATGAGATCTCAACACTTCAACCGTAAGACGTTAGGGTTGAAGCCTTAGTTCTGCAGATGCGATTTAACCTTACCCCAGCTACTCTGCCGCAGCTGGAAACAAGTCCCTTTTCTAATCTCAAGCAGGACGTCTACAAGCACTGCTGCAACCACTCTTCACTATTATCCGATCACTTCGCTCACCTTTTTAAACACGGGCTCGTTGTCGTTTTCGTCGACAACGATGACGGTGATGGGCACGGAGACCTTGTTGTTGTCACCGCCCTCCACACGGTCCTCCAGGGTCACCTGGAGCTTCAGCTGGGTGGTCGTCTGTGGACGGAAACGAGGTGGATGGTAAGGGAGTGTATGTAAGAGTGGGGTGTGAAGTAATTGAGAAATGGCGCGGGGATATAAATAAGAACATCTGAACCAAGGTAGACTGGTAAGCTGAGATGAGTTCATTCAAA